ATCTGCGTCTGTGCTAACCATTGTGAATCTCCAAACCTAATGGAAGCTTTTCTTTCCGACCAACTTGAAACCTAATTAAATGATCAATATGTTTGTGTTGATTAGATGATTCAAAAGAGAGTCGTTGAGCAATGTTAAGTTTATATCTTTTTTATATACTCTCACATTTGACAATATAAAAATGTATGTGGAAGTTGTTGAACAATCATATAAATACTCATATTTTTTATCCATTAGTTATTAGTTAACCTATCAATTATTTTTAGTCACGTGTTAATCATATTACTTTTTTATTTTAAAAAATTCAATTAAATCCAATCAAAATAATGATTAAATTAATTTATTCATTGCAGGTTGGTATTAAAAATGACATCTCATTACAGATCAACATCTGCAAAAGAACTATTTTGTTTTTTCATATAGATGGGCAATTTGTGAAGAATGTTGAAGGCCAAATTCAATATATTGAAGGGAGAATAAGATTAAAAACCATAGGAGAGGGGATGACACTTGAAGAAATGAGAATAATGATAACATCATGGATTGACATTGATAGTAATAATGTCGAGATGAAATACACTGTAACTTTTGATGAGAAGACCCTAATAGATCTTGTTGATGATGCAGAACTTGCAAGCCTATTTCAGTATAATGAGAGAAGTGGGCATGTGTATATAACATGCAAAGGAAATGACAATGTACAAAAAACATTTGATGAGCAACAAGTGTAAGCAACTTTGTTGTTGTTGTTGTTGTTTTTATTTTTTAAAGAAAATTTGGTATTCATTATAGTGTTATTGCTAGTAACAAAAGCTGCAATTGAGTTGTGCAGCACTGAGAAATTGCTAGGAGGCTCAGAACAAAGCTTTTTAACAAATGAAGCACTTGGAGGACCTAGTAGCCTACCTTGTAGAATATAAAGTGTATTGACACCCACGCTTGAATTGAACTCATTGAAATGGAAAAAAATTGTTGTCAGCAGTATTGCAAACATTTGCAAATACTGATGCTTTTAGAGAGGCACTCTACAAGTATAGTATTGCTCACAAGTTTCAATACAAATTTTTGAAGAATAGCAAGCATAGGATGTCTGTGAAATGTAAAATTGAAAGGTGTCCTTGGAAAATAACAACAAATGCGATAGGGAAGAAAACTCCTTTCCTACATGTGACACAATTTCAAGGTGAATACATTCAGCATGCTTAAGACAACCTTCAAGTGATACATACCTAAAGAGCTAGTATAACGTCATCTAATTATAATTGAGGAGGTAAGGTCTCATATAGACAAAGGTCCAAACAAATTAGGAAGACATTACAAAGAGACTATAGTCTGAATCTCACAGATAAACAAGCACATGCTGCTAAGAAAAGAATCATTTGAGGAGATTCAGGGTAGACTAGAGCAGTCTTATATGCTTATGCCATAGATATGTTAATGATTGAAGGATACTTACCCAAAATTTGTGGTTGAATGGGTAGCTTCTCATAATAAAATTTTTTAAGCGTGTCTTTATAGCATATGGTTGTTGTATAGAAGGATTTATGGTTGGGACAAGACATATACTATACATAGATAGAACTCATAAGTGGCCCGTATAAGGGCACCTTGCTATCAGCCTCCACATATGATGCAGATAATGAATTGTTGCCATTTGCAATTGATATTGTAAAGGGAGAGACATATGAGCACTGGACATGGTTTTTGGTTATGATTAAAAAGATAATAGGTTTAATTGATTGATGATTGTTTTAGACCGTCACATTACTATGATAAGATCTATATGGGAAATATTCAGTGGTGAGTGTCATGCATTTTGCTATCGACATGTAAAGGAAAACTGTAGTGCAGAATTGATGAAATTAAATAGAGGGAAGAAAAGAACAAGTGCCTAGAGCAAGGATGATCCGCTAAAATCGCTTGATGACATTGCATATGCAAGGCTTGAAAGTGAGTTCAATGTTGCTATGGAAAATATGAGAAGTTTCTCTTCACAATTATTCCAGTGGCTTGAGAATCATGGGGATGTTGATAGGCGGGCTTTAAGCAAGTTTCCATTTAGACGATGAGACAATATAACAACAAATCTTGCTGAGTCGTTCAATGCATGGATGGTGAAAGAGAGGAGGCATAATATTGCTCAATTGATCCATAAGCATTGAGAAAAGGTAGCAAAGAAAATGTATGCATCAAGTATAACAATGAGAAAGTGGAAAACTATTGTTGGTTCAAACATAGAATTAAAAGTGAGAGAGCATGTGGCTAGAGCTGAACAAATGTTAGCTGAACATTATAGAGACATGATTTGTGTTCATACATCTTTTAGAGACTTACAGGGTGATCTTCATGCACATCAATGCAGTTGTGCAGCATGGTAAATGTCTGGAATTCCATGTCCACACACTTGTACAGCCATCAAACTTGTACATGGTCATGTGTATGATTATATTGAAGACTGCTACAAGATTACAACACAAGAGAAGATTTATAGAAGAAGCATGATACTTGTTATAACCATTGACATGCCAAGTCCAAATAGCTTAAGGATGGAAAATATAATGGGACAAATTTTCCTCTAACCACCTTAGACTGGTCGACCTCCTGGAAGACCAAGAACTACGAGACGTGAATCACAATTCTAAAACACAAACATGCCACTGTTCAAGATGCCATCAAGCTGGTCACACAAAAAAGACTTGCAAAAATCCAAATCCTTGTTGAAATTGGTCTAGCAAATAGCTGATTTTTTTTTTGGAGCATATGTAGTGTGATTATTGATGCAAGTGATGACTAATGAGGACATGGCCTTTCTTAGATTTTATGTCAAAGTTGTGTTTTGTAATTGTGAGCGTTATGTCAACTCTAGGATTTATGACCTTTTAGTTATTTTTTATATAATAAAAATTTGATATTGAATAAATCTTGGAGACCAAAAAATTGAAGATGAATTGATGAGTTTCAATATAATTTCTGAAATAGTAAAATTAATTTTGATAGATATTCAAGAATTACGTGAATCTTTGATTTGATTTTTTTCTTGCACAAAAAAAAAACTTTTCATCCTACTAATCTTTGATATTTGAAATCGTAAAATTTTTATTAGTTACCATATTTTTGTAATTTTATAGATATCTAGAAATTATGTATTTTTTTATCTTGACTTTTCAACCATTTTTTATTGGCCATAATCATGATTTTTCATTTTTTTGTTTTTAATATGATAATGTTTTTGGCCAAATTTTCATATGATAATGTTTAAAGGAAAAACATGTTAGTTAAATTCAGTTAAAAGAATTGAAACTAAAATTAGGCTTTTTAATTATGAAGGGCATTTTGGTCTTTTAGCAATATTTAGAAATCCCCAATTAGGCCTTTTGGCCTAATTAAGAATTTGTTAAAAGTGTAGGCTTAAATTAGGATTTTGCTGTTTCACACGGATTTAATTAGAATTTTCCCTTTTTTTTAATTTTAAAATCCTAACTTTTTGAATTTTGTAAATCAAACTCATTAAAATTTGTCCTCTCCTCCTTTCCCCTTATTTCCCTCATATGATAAAAGAAAAGAAGGAAGGAAGAATAGAAGAAACTAATCATAACTTTTTTGGCTTGATCATTAAAGCATGCACAACTTTAGTTAAAGAGAAGAAGTGACTCAATCAGTTGACCTTATCTATTGACTATAATTAAACGGAGAATCGTAAGAGCATATCGAAAGATGACAAGAATTAGCACCGAGAAAGAGAAAGAAAAAGGATGATAGTAATAACAAAGTAACAAATATAATAATACAACTGAGTTCATGCATTAATCATCCATACATTAAGATGTTAGGTCCCGTTTGGTACGAAGCATTAAAAATGAGGAAAAGGGATTGAGATTGAAAGTGTAAAACTATATTAAAAGGGTATTCAGTATGAGTAATTGTATGATACTTGGAATTAGATAAACCCATATATGTGGGATTGGAGAATACCATGAGGGGAGGTGGTATTTTCCAATTCTATCTATGTGGGACTACCTAATCCCATGTAATAAGAAATCACTCATACTAAGCATCTTTCTTATATATGTTTTCAACCCCAATCTCAATTCTTATCCCTCATTTTCAATACTCTATATCAAACGTAACCTTAGTGTGTTCACTTGTGGAAAGTTTCTTTATTTTTCTTTGTCCTTTCACTACAACTACCAAATGGCAAAATGGAAGACGAAAATGGTGTCTTATAATTACTTTTACGCGGAACATTATCATAAAAATATATTGTTTTGGGTAATCTAAACTTTTTGCAAGATACATAAGTAAGGAATAGAAAAACTTGTGCAAAACTTTTTCTGCTTCTGAAATGATTTTCTTTTAAAACGAGTATGTCCAAAATTTGAAACTTACAAGCAAGCAATATATCTTCGTGAAAGCAAGCGGGGGATCATTAGGAAGAGCATAAACTATACCTCAGTCCTCACGGTTTAACTTGTTAGACTTTCGATCGAACCCATAGTAATTAAATAAAAATAAATGCTACTTCCGATCATTAATATAAGAGCTATTTGATTAAGTTGAGTAGATTAAAAAAAATTAGTTAAACTAGTTATTTGTAATGAATAAGCATTGTTTTTCCTAAGATATTCTTACCAATCGAATGTATTAGCTAGAATTACCATTATTACAAGGACTACTTTGAAAAAAATAGATAAATATGAGACAAAGTAAATTGAAGACTGGAGGTAGTATATGCATAATATATATATTTATATATATATAAGAAATAAATTCATAATAACTGCAATTGCATTTGATACTTGAAAATGAATTAATCCATAATAACTGCAATTTGAGTGAACAAAAAGCAAGCGATGGATTAATCCATGAAAGTGATTTTACCTTTTAAACATAAATCTGATATGAAATGATCACAGCCATCCATTGTGTTACAACAGTTAGAACGATAATGCTGAAAGCCCGAAACCAAACATTCCCTTCAGTCTTACACAAGCCCCAAACTGATCATATGCATATGATACAAAAATCATAGACTTCAAATATTTACAGTAAAATGTCAAGTGCAGCACTTTATGCAAGCAGACACACTAGCAAATGAGGTTCAATCCGTCATTAGTTCCCCGATTGTGATGGTGTGAAATTGATCCTCTATATAAGATTTTGGTGTCCTTGCTAGTTCCACAGATACTTGTTCCATGGTTGGACGAGATTGAGGAGTCTCATTCAAGCAACAAAAAGCTATTTTTGCAACTAAAATCACATCATCTAGGATTGGTTTTGTCAGTGGAGATAGTCGTGGGTCCAACACATCCTTTAACAACATGTCATTATTGGTTGAATTCTCCGCCAAAGATGAAATAAGCTTAGCTGGATGTTCCCCCATAATGATTTCTAGAGTTAACACGCCAAAGCTATAAACATCACATTTTTCATTTGCTTTCATAATAAAAGCAATCTCTGCAATAGAAATTAATGTTATACATATATATATATCCATACTATAGTGAATGTTAATACTCTAGAAAGAAGAGACAAAAAAGTGTTACCTGGAGCAGCATACCCAAATGTGCCAGCAAATGTGGTTATATTGTTTGAGTTAGGATTCAAAAACTTCGCTGTTCCAAAGTCAATGATGCGAGCTTCCTCAAAATCAGAAGTTAGAAGAATGTTCTTGCTTGATATGTCACGATGCACAATAGGGATTGAACAACCATGATGCATATGGAATAAAGCATTAGCCACACCTTTAACAACATTTACCCTCTTATTCCATTCAAATTCAGTGGCTTGATTTTGATTCTTTAATATGTCATCCAAGCTGCCACCATCCAAGAACTCATAAACCAAAAAGGAGAATTGTGAATTGGAATAAAACCCATACAATTTCACAATGTTGTGATGTTTGATTTCTGTCAAGGCTTGAATCTCACTTGTAAAGGCTTTTTGGTTGGAAATATCTCCACTTGGCATTGAATGAAGCTTCTTTACAGCGACAACATCACCTGTAGGCAACTCAGCCCTATAAACACTTCCTTGGCCTCCTTTCCCGACCAGATATCTTTCATCAAATTCTTTTGTGGCTTCAATGATATCTTCATACAGTATTTCTCTTTCGAGACTCCATACAAAATAAACATCTTCAGTTGGATTTTCTCCCTCTTTGCCTTTTGCTTTTGCTTTTGCTGCTATTCGAGAAAAAATGAAAGATGCTCCAACAAATACTAATAGCAGTATGGCCAATGGGAGGAATATTGTCAGGAACTTTTTGCTCTTATGCCCGTGTCCATTTGTTTGACGATCACCACAGGGACTTAAACCATTGATGTTACCGCACAAACCTTTATTGTTCCTTAAAGCATCAAAGTTGTGAAAGGCTTGTTTGTTTGGAACGGGGCCTATTAATTGATTATATGATATGTCAACTGTAGACAAAGCTGACATTGGTCTATTTAAACTTGAAGGAATGGTGCCGGTGAGATTATTATGTGAGAGGTTCAATACTTGCAAGTTGGATAACATTCCAAGCCCAGATGGTATAGTTCCAACTAGCAAATTGTCACTAAGATCAAGATGTTCAAGGTCTTGGAGTTCACCAAACTCAGGGGGAATGCTTCCAGCAAATTTGTTTTTGCTCAAGTTCAAGAACTTCAATCTGGTTAATTCCCCAAGCTCTCTTGTGATTGAGCCATTAAATTTATTTGCTGCCAACTCCAAAGTTTGAAGTTGACTAAGTGATCTTATACTTGAGAGGACATTACCAGAGAAGTTATTGTGACTCAAAGAGAGTTCTGCTAGCTTGACCAACTTCCCTAGTGTTTTGGGAATTGGTCCAGACAAATGATTTGAGGACAAGTTAAGTAAACCAAGCTTAGCTGCATCTCCTAGTTCTGGTGGTATACCACCAGACAGCCTATTATTGTGAATAATCAATTGTGTAAGATTTTGACACTTACCCCACCTTGATGAAAGGTGGCCATACAATTGATTTCCACTTAGATTGATGTGGTATAAATGAGGATACACTCCAAAAGCATCTGTTATATTTTCATCTATTTGGTTATTATCAAGCTTGAGTCTTTGTAGACTAGAACAATTCTTCAAACTAGTTGGAATAGGACCAGTAAAATGGTTATCATTAGCAGCAAGCCTAAACAACTGCCCACTTTGGCAAATACTTTGTGGCAAAGGACCACTGAGATGATTATAACTCAGTTGTATGTTATACCAACTAGTCAAGTTATTCATTTCTCGTGGAAGTTGACCACTAAAGCTGTTGTTGTCCAAGAACACAGCGGTGAGCTTTGTCATATTTCCTATAGTGGGAGGAATAAATCCTAAAAGCTTGTTGTTTGAAAGGTAAAACTCCTCTACATTGATCAAGTTGCCTATGGATGGAGGAATTGGACCAAAGAATCTGTTATCAGAAAAGGAAAATTTTTTGAGATTGGTTAGGTTTCCTACATAGGGAGAGATTGGCCCTGAAAGACTATTTTCATATAACTGAATGTTATTGAGAGAATAGAGTTTCCAGAATTCAGTAGGAATAGGACCCGCGAGATTGTTCTTGTCAAGAAACAGTATTTGTAACATGGTCAAGTTTCCAATTGATGATGGGATTCTCCCTGATAGAGAGTTCTCCGCCAAATCAATATATACAAGATTGCTTAACATTCCAATCTCTTCAGGAATGGGACCAAAAAAGGAATTGTTTGCAAGCCATAGGCAACTCAAATTCCTCAAATTCCCAATTTCTTGGGGAATTTGTCCAGTGAGTTTACATGTCGTAAGATCAAGACAAGTTAGAGTGGTTAGATTCCAAATTTCAGGAGGAATGGAACCCCTAATTAATGGATTACCTGACAAACGCAACCACAAAATACTGGACAAATGACCAATTTCGTGGGGAATATTTCCATGAAATTGGTTGTTCTGTATGTTAAAGTAGAGGAGATTAGGAAAGGAAGCGAAGTTGAGACTGGAAAGTGTACCATTAAGCCTAAGATTTGGGAGACTTATGTTGATCACCGACAGGGATTTATCACAAGAAATTCCCATCCAGAATTGTTTGCAAGGAGAAGTATCGTTCTTCCAAGAGGACAACGTGCCTTTGCTTTGTTCATTAAAGCTATCCCTCCACTTCAACAGAGCTTTTGCTTCGCTTTCTCCACCAGCAACAGATGCGAAGAAAGCAGCACAGAAGAATAATGCTAGCAACTTAGTGGAATCTCTTTCAGACATGCTTTTTGGGCAAATTTTTGAATCAGGAATATATTCGATCAAAGACGAAATATTTTAGTGCCTGGGATGGTCAAGTTGGTGGTTGTAAATGGTGGGTATCTGAGGCTTGGGATGTTCAAGCTGATGATACAGCCCTTCTTATATAGTATGCATTGGCCTTGCAGGCAATAATTTCTCAGTATAAGATAATATTTTGTGATAGACTTGCCGACGTATGTTGATGAATCCAGATGGTTAAACTTTTCCTTTTTAAATTGATCGTGTTTCACTGCCTTTTTCTTTTCTTTTCTCTGTTTTCTTCGGTTTTAATTTCCCCGTTTCTTGATTTTTCAACAGCAACAGGAGCTCATCATTATTGTTTTCCCAACACTTCATGAACTTCAGAAACAATTCGATTGATTAAGGAGCTCTGTTTGGATTTTATCTTTATCTTTATATTAATCAAATTTACAATATGCTAATAACTATCGGGAATGACAACTAATTAAACACTCTCCCATATCCTTTTTATAAGGCAAAGTTAAAGATCCCTACTTGGTCCAAAATACAGGATAAAGATGTAAATATTTATATTTGTTGCATTATGTTTCTGGCGTTCTTTTAATTTTAGTATAATACTGTACTGGAATATCAATTTTAGTAAAAACTAAAATTGGAACTTATACATTTTTTACCAATTTAAAGATATTCCCTTTTGTTCTTCTCATAAGATTAAAAAGTTGATTAAAACTAATTGGAGACAATAATTATGTAAAAGTAATACAATTTGTATTTTAAAACCACCTTTGTTGATGAAAAATATGCGTGGTAGAGAAAATGAGTGAAAAAAAGATATGAGAAAGATAAGTAATTAATAGAGGGTAGTAATAAAAAAAAATACTAAATGTTTAGACATTTTCAAAGTGTTACTCATAATACTCATTTAAAAATTGTAACATATAAAAAGGAACTGAGGCAATACTTTTTAAGAATGGTGAAGCGGTTTAATTTATAATTAAGCTCAGAGTATGTGTGCGTGTGCGTGCGTATAATGTTAAGCACAGATGAAGCTTACACTCGATATTAAGAACTCATTATTTTAAAAGTGCATAAACACAGTTATATAACAGGGATAGAATTTGCCATCCATAGTCAACATATCCTAACCGTATTAATCTCAGCCAGTACTTTTGACCAAAAAAAAAGAATCTCAGCCAGTACCCAATGTACTCCAAGATATTGGATTCGGAACGCGTCAGGTCCCCTTTTTTTAAAACTAAAGCCATTTAATATTGTTTTATAGATTTAAAATTTGAATAATTTTTAAATTTGCTCTCAAATTTTATATGATAAATAAATATTTAGAATAATAAACTAATTTTATTAAATTTTTTAAATATTTAAAATATTAATTTTATTTTTTGCCAACAAAATAATACTTTTATTACTTATTAATATTATTTGTTATTAATAATTATAATTTTTATTACCACCTCTGTAAGTTTTTTTCTCCTTGGCTCCGTTCTTATTTCCCAATTTTCTCGTGGATGATGATTATCACAACCTTATTGTTAAAAAAGATGGGAGAATGTCACAAAGACCTCTTAAGTATGCAAATCTTCGATCAGAATCGAAAATTTCAGGCAAAAAAAATAAAAGAGTAGAATCGCAAAGCGGTCTAATTATCCTGAAGTGTTTAGGTACATTTTTGGCATCATCTTTTACAAAATGACCATTTTGCTCATCAATGGGGGGTAAAAACAAAAAAAGAACAACCAGAATTATTGAAAAGGAAGTGATCTGTAATCAATGACTACTTGAAATAACAATTTTTATCATATGGAATCATGATAAAACTTCAAGCAATATGATGTTTTAAATATTAGTGATAACCTGGAGATTAGTAAGAAAATAACTACTTTAATTATATGATATAATAATAAAACTTTTGACAGCTACTGTCTATGAGAAAATGACACAATTAAAAATTATTACTACTTGAGATTTTGTTGTCATTTCACAAAGATTAAAGTTTTTATTTCTTAAAGTAAAATGATCATTCATCTCTAAATCATCAATGACATTTAAAGCTTCAAAGTCCTCGTTATAATTCCTAAGATTTTGTTGTTAAAATTTCATATAACAAAGGTTGTTATTTTTCACAGTGAAATAACCATGGTGCTCTCCAGGTCATACCATTTCCAATAATTCTCCAGCAGCCGGTGGCGGTGATTAATATGGTCATTTTGCAACAAAAATTACTGCCTTTGAACTTTGAAGTTGCTCGAGAGTTCAAAAGAATTATTTACTCCTTTAATCCGATTTAAAAGGTAGACAGAGTATTTTTTCCCCCTAACATAAGTCACTTTATTGAACTTAGTATATGAATGCACTCTGTACTCTGTATACTTTCGGTTATTAATATAAGAGTTAGATAACTAATTCATAAATATTAAAAAAATTAAAATATTTTTGTTAATAATGTGCATTAGAATAGAAATCCTTTAGCATGTGTCATCATCATGAGACTACTTTGAGGATGAATAAATAAATATGAGAGACAAAATAGATTGGGGTCTTATATTTAGAATCAAATTGAATGCTTCAACCAAGTCTTATATTTAGAACCAGAGATAATGTAATTTTATCAATAATGTATTATTTTATAGTCTATTATTTTCTTAAAAAGTAAGTTGAAAAATTATTAAATTTCAAGATGATGCATGAAAGTTAAGGTTTTTCTTATACATAATAAAAAAATATTATTAAAAGCATGTTGTGAATAAGTATTAGATGAGTATTTCATAATCTTTGTAAATAGGGATTAGATGAGTATTTCATATTCCTACTTTGACACACGCACTAGCACACAAATATTCAGGAGGTTTTCTAGCGTGAAAAGATTGTAACAACCACAAAAGATAGAGCTGCCAATTGAACTTTGCCTATGTGCATGCTTTTGACTGGGACGGGCGTAATGGCATATCACACTCATAATCCATTTACTTTTCTCATCTTTCGTAGAGAAAAAGCATGCTTCAGACAAAATAATTCCTTCGTAATCTGGGAAGATTTTTTCTAAAGACTTGTGCTGCGTTTGAATGGAAAAGAAGTTGGAAGGGAGAAAAACACGAGAGGGAAGAAAATAGATAAAAAGAAAAGTTGGAGAGAAAATATTATCATTTTTCTTATTTTGATATACAAGAAAAAAACAGCAGAAAATAAAATGAGAAATATTTGAATGACTAAAATATCATTACCTTTATATCAAAACATTTCGTGTTTAAAATTAAATTAAATATTTAACTTCATTACATAATTTAAAATCAAATTATTTGATAAAGATATATTTTGATATTATTATATTTTAAAACCAATAATGCAGTAGAATATGGTTTTTTTTTAAGGTTGAAAATAAAAATTGGATAATTTTTGAGCTAAAATATAATTAAATATGTTATTTTTTAAATGATTCATAAATTTTATAATTATTTTTTTTCAAAAAATTTATATACGTATAAGTTACTGTATTTTAGCTCTATCGTATAAAAGGTTACCATAAAAAAAATCATCCCCAGAGTATTTTCTAGATCAGTCGCCTCTATCGTACCTGTCTTAGCCCACATTTTCTATAGCCTATCTGTAATCATCCCCAACATCATCTTCCAATCAACCCAGGACTTTAAAAATTAGACTCTGGCAATACGGCTCCTGAATCTTATCCAATGCCCCATTAGAGAAGATAAACTCAGGAATAACCAAAAGTTTGCCCCCTAGTGTTAACTACCTTCAGTTTGGACTAAAGTTAAAATCGAGTTTTGCTAAGCAGGTGTGCGGAGACATGGAAGAGTTGGAAATGCATGTTAGATAAATATTTGAGAGAGATAAGGACCCGCGAGCTTGTCAAAATAAGCACGAAAATTAACTTAAATAAACATTTAAAATTGTATCAGATTGATGACTCACTAATGAGCTTGCATAAAGACACAATCATTACTAAAAATAGGGATTTATCGATATTTTGAAAGTAAAAATAAACTAATTATGAGATGTATGTATAATACATATACTTATTTTATAATTCATATTTTTAATGTGTAGATATCACAAAAACATATAAAAAAAAATGGTTACATACTCAAAATGATTAGATGGTCACAAAAATGTGTCCTCGAAGCTTCAACCCTTTTGAAAAACATAAAAATTGAGGAACCGCGTTTGAATCATTGAACCAGGTAGCAATACTGTTAGCATATGAGATTCCATGTTATTTCAGCACATTTTCCTTGAGGCTTGATATACTTTTGGATACATTTGTGCATATTTTGGATACCCAAGAAAGGAAAATGTGCATTTGGTTTTTGTTGCACATCATTGCCCAATTGTGTATATTTTGATCATATTTCTACTTAGTTTTCATGCTTTTGATATTATTCATTTGTAGGAATCTTTTTGGGACAATGATCAAGAGGTTACAACTATTTTGGCAAACTTGGAAGATTTGTTAGTGATGAGAAAACCATATGAAAAACCAATGCAAGCATGAAGAAACAGAGTCAAACAGATAGGACGAGTGCTTAGGCTATGGTATGAGTACCTACGACAAAGATGATTACATTCACACACATCTGAGCACACACTAGTTAACACTACTGCCTCCCACACAATCACACGTACAGTGGACCGGCAACACTGAAATCTACATAGCCATTTTCTCATGTTGAGGGATTACTGTAATCCTCAGATATGTAATTATATGCTTAGTGGGAGGCGCACAAGTCAAGAACTATAACAGCCCATTTCTTGATGATTCCGTTTCTATCGATATCTGAGAATTATCCTTACCTCGTTTGTTCTAATCACTTGAAGATTTAATTTATAATCACCATTATTGGACAACTTTTTGTTTTGTTATTGTTGTGACACGCACGCACACAGCAGAGAATCTTTTTTGGAGATAAGGTGGGGTAATATGT